AGAGCAGACTTTCCCATCACAGTATGTCTTTTAATTTCCTGACTGCTGGTGCCAAAACTTTTGATTGTGGAGCCAAGCAGACTAAAGTTGTGAACAATCTCAATATCTTCACCATCCATCCTGATGCTGCCAATTGGTCCAGTGATGAGAATCATTGTCTTCTTGGCATTTAGCCTCAATCCACATTGAAGGCTATAGTCCTTGACCCTCTGCAGCAAGTACTTCAGGTCCTCTTCAGTTTCAGCAAGCAGGGTTGTGTCATCTGCATAATGCAGATTTTTGATAGATCTTCCACCAATCCTGATGCCACATTTCTCCTCATAGAGCCCAGCCTCCCAGATGATCTGTTCTGCAATTCAGAGCTTCTAAATGATCATATATACACACTGTTTTAATATGATTGTCACAAATCCTGGTGGAATTTTGAGGGAGAGGGAAATGTAACTGGCATGAGATTGCAGAAGTGTTTGTGAAAAGTCTCCAGCTGCACATTCCCTAAATTAATAAGGAATGTGCTCCTCTGTGAAGAGTCTTTTCATGTCTTTTGCCCCTTTTGTGATTAGCAGTCTTTTCTTTCTGGAGGCCTTGTGGTATTCTGTAAACTTTTGTTATGAGACCCTTGTCTGAGATTACATTGCCAAATATTATTTCCCAGTCTGTAGGTTTTCTTTTCACTCTATTGGAAAAAGCTTTTGATGCACACTGGGACTTAATTATTAGAAAACCCCATTTGTCAATGCTGTCCTCTCCAGCCTTTCTGGATATTTATATTATAGTTTAGGGCTTCGTTTGCAAGCCTGTTTATGCCATAGGCCCTTAGGGCTTCATTTGCTTAAATAAGTTTGATCTCAATTCATCTCAGGATTCTCATGGTTTGGGACTTTACCCTTTAGATCTCTGATCCATCCTGAATTTATTTTTTTGTGTATGATGTGAAATGTGCATTCTGTTTCCATTTTCTGCAGGGAGATGTCCTGTTTTGCAAGCAACATCAGTTAGAGAGATTATAGTTTGCTTATTTAATAAGTTTTGATTCCTTGTCAAATACCAGTAGACTGTAGGTAAATGGGTTAATTTCTGGGTTCTCAATTCTGTTCTGTAAGTTAGTCATTGTACCAATACCATGCTGTTTTGGTTACTACAGCTGTGTAGCAGGTTTTGAGATCCGGAGGACTATATCTCCCGCTTCATTTTTATTTTTCAGAAGAGGTTTGGTTATTCAGGATCTCTTTCCTTTCCAAATCTGCCAGTTGCCTTCTCTATCTCTTTGAAAAATGAGTTTGTTGTCTGTATTGGGATTGTGTTGAACCTGTAGATTGTTTTTGATAGGATTGCCATTTTCACTATGTTAAGTGTTCCTGTCGATGAACAGGGAATGTTTTTCTATTCAGTTAGATTTGTTATTGTTTCCTGTGTGAGTGTTTTGTAGTTTTCCTTGTAAAGGTCTTCTGTGTCTCTAGTTTGTTTTATTTCCCATTACTCTACCTTGTGCTTGGCTGTTGTCCTTGGGGTTACTTTCATTGTTTCCTTGTCTGTGCTTTCTGTGCTTCTGTAGAGAAATCCCCCCTTTTTTTGTATCTTGATCTTTATCCTGCTGAGGCAGACCCAGGCCCAAGAAGACATTAGCTAAGCAAAAACAGGAAACCTGTTTAGCAGGCTTGACTCCCAGGAACAGTTCCCAGTGAATAGCTTTAACCATATAAGGTAGATAGAAGTTCAGCAATAAGTAACAGAAAACCGGTCCTACAGCTGAGGGTTGGCTGCCCAAGAACCAAATGAGGGAATTTTAGCTAACCTATGACCTTTCTCCCCAAGTGCCTAACTAACCTATTGCCCCTCTTTAGCCAATCTGCTTAACTAACCAATCATAATATATATAAAAACTAGTCTATACAAAGAGACCCCAACCAATGCCTTGTAGTAAGCCTGTATGAAGAGGGCATTTTGCCTTTGGGGACCCTGATCCTTGAGAGGCTGTTGTCTCTGTCAGCACTCCCTATGGAAAAGAAAGTCTTCCTTGGTTCACCAGAAAAGCCTGTAGCATTGTTCCTTCCCTGTAGTCACTGGACAGGAGGTCGAATTCCTGCAACACTGCCACTCTACTAAATTGGTGTGCTAGATTGAATAATCTTTTGTTGATTCTTTGACGTTTTCTGTGTACACTTTCATATCATTTATGTATACTGACAGTTTTACCACCTCTTTACTGTACACGATGCCTCTTATTTCCTTCTCTTGTCATATTGTCCTACCAAGTACTTCTAATACAACTATTAAATAAGAGTGGTGATAGTAGTCTTGTGCTCCCTGTCCGTTAGAATGCCTATAGTCTTTCTCCATTGTGAATGTTGTTGCCTCTTGGTTTTGCATATATATTTTGCTGAGGGTGAAGCCAGTTTGCTCCTTGGAGTAAAAGATTTTAATACTGTGTTTCACGTATTTTGGGCTTGTCACCGGAGGGACCAGTCCTTAGAGAAGCACAGAACGATGCTTGGAATGCTTGGAAGGCTAGAGAGAGGGTCAGTCAGCACAGAAGAGGAAACCCCTGGATGAGATGAATTGACACAGTAACTGGCCAGTGGGGTCAAGTGTGTTGGAAACAGTGAGGTTGACTCGGGGAAGGTCAAAGTTCAGGCTATTGTTAATAGGGTTGCTATGTTGACTGAAGGGCACATAACAACAACAACATGTTGAGGAAATTCCCTTCTATTCTTATTCTGCTATTTTAATAATGAAGGGATGTTGTATATTGTCAAAGGCATCTTCTGCATCAGTTGATAGAATCATGTGGCTCTTGTTCTTTGCTTTTGTTAATCTGATGAATTTCATTGATTGTTTTTCTTATGTTGAACTGTCCTTGCATATTGGCATACCCATTATGAATCTCACCTGGTCGTAATCAGTTATTTCTCTTATATACTATTGGATTCTCTTGGCCAATATTTTGTTAAGAATTTTTGCATCTATTTTCATGAGGGCTATTAGTCTGTAGTTCCTTTTTTGGTAACATCTTTGCCTGGTTTGGGTATTATACTTTCTTTGTAGAATGACACTGAGATGTTCCTTCTTTTTCAGTTTTTTGAAATAATTTAGGTAGAATTAGTGATCATCACTGAATGTTTGGTAGAATTCAGCTGTGAAGTCATCTAAGCCAGGACTCTTTGTAAAATAGATTCTTTGTATGACCTATTCAATTTCTTCTTTTGTGGCATGTCTGTTCAAGTGTTCTACTCTCTGCGTCAATCTGGGTAGGATGTGGGTCAAAGAAAGGAAATTCTAAGGATAAGGACTGAAATCCATGGAATAGAAAATAGAAAAAGGATTGAAACCATCAAGAAGACCATATTCTTGGGAAGATTAATAAAATAGAGAAATCATTGGCCAGTTTAACAAGACAAGAAAGAGAACACACAAATAACTCTAATTAGAACAGAATCAGGTGAAATGAAATCAATAATAACAGAATATTATGAAAAGCTATACTACAATAAATTCAAAACTACTGGACATGGACAAATTCCTAAAAAAGTAAAATTTTTTAAAACACAGTAAATAGACACTATAAAGCGCAATAAAGCAAATGTAAAGAAACACATAATGCTAACAACAATATTAGAAAACAAATTCCTGTCACATCACCTGCTGCATGTGCAGATTTTAAATTATAGCAATTTTTAAAAACTCTTTCTTTCACTAAAACTCAAACTTCCTGCCATCAAGGCAATTCTAACTCATAGTGACTCTCCATTATTTTGGAGCCTTTGTTAACCAGATTGTTCCATCTTTGGCCATTGCACGCTGTTTTCCCTGGGCTACTGTACCACTTTAACATGCCCTCAGTATGGATTTTTTTTTAGCCCCTTCCTTAACTTTCAGACACTACGTGATGTTTGGCTCATCCTGTGAATGTCCCTCCTCGACTGAAAAACAACAGTGGGTTAATTTAGGTGTGCTGGTTTAGGTGTGCTGATTTCTACTGGTGTGTCAGTTATTTCATGCTGCTCCAGCTAATAAAGAAATATTTGCACATATTCTAATGCAAGTATGTACATGTTGCTTATCTTTAAACTACTCCAACAATAAGACACTGAACTCCTACCATTTACTATCCATTTACACCTTTGTTTAATTTCAGCATACCTGTATAGCATTACCTCAGTTAGAAACATAACAACCCTGGGGGAAACACCTTTTTCAGGTAGAGCATAAGCTTATGCACGGTTCTTTTGCCTTTAGTCTCACAGGGGTCACACATTTCCAAAGTTTTATAGGTCAGTACCTTGCTCCCCAACCAGGTCAGCACCTTGCTCCCCACCCACTTTAGTGAAGTTATTTCTTGCATTTGCAAGGTATGTTCACTTTCTTCATAGTCTTAAAAATGTCACACACAGCCTGGCCCATTATAGACACACTGTTGCACATGGTGTTTTTCCACGTGCAATTCCTCCAAGTGCTTTTGAATTCAAAATCTTTAAGAGAAAAGGAAATATTAGAGACACGCATTTTGATCACATAAAAATGGCTGCCTTTTTCTTTTTTTAAATGAAGTGTGTGTGTGTGTGTGTGTGTGTGTGTGTGTATAACCTAAGTATCTTATAAGGGTTTTTATCAGGGCTCAGAACCTTCTCTTCTCTCTCTCACATATACATGAGCACATACATTCTCCATCATACCACCAAACACACTCAGACCACCCCACACACAAAAAATTCTTGAGCAGGGTAGATATTTTTCTTGAAATTAGTGAAAAAAAATCTCAAATACATTATATAATGTGACTTAAAAACTATGCCTGGCTACTGTAATTATTAACACTTTTTCTTTTATTAAAATATCTAGGGAAAAGTAGAAGTATAGAAGATAATTTGGCATTTGCGTTTTTCAGTTTTCAAAGTAAAAACATGAACTTTGTTTAAATGTTTAAAAAGCAATTTCTTCAAAATTGAATTTTCTATAACTGAACTATTGAACTACCTCAAAATATGCCTAATCTCTGATAGGTTCTTCTTGCAAAACGAAAACTGGACGGAAAATTTTACGCTGTAAAAGTACTACAGAAAAAAATTGTTCTCAACAGAAAAGAGGTAAACTCAGATAACTGTTGCTTATTCTAATTAAGCCCATTTTCTCAGTTAACAGAATAGTTTTCTGTTTTATAATGAGTTGGTCCTTTACCTTTTTTCCAGCAAAAACATATTATGGCTGAACGTAATGTGCTCTTGAAAAATGTGAAACATCCATTTTTAGTTGGATTACATTATTCTTTCCAAACAACTGAAAAACTTTACTTTGTCCTGGATTTTATTAATGGAGGGGAGGTGAGTTTTAAAATTAGTTTTCTAATACCCACATTGTTCTTAAGATGTCTATATTGACAGTCCGTTGTCAACTAGTATTTTTTTTTAGTATCCAAGGAACTGGCTAAGCTAATGCACAATGCCAAGAAGTATACTTGGGGTTCTTAAATATTTTATGATGTAGCGGGAAGGTTTGTGAAAGAATTTTGGTACGAAACTACAGTTTCATAAATGCTTTGCCACCAAGCTATACAACAATAGTTATATACAGAAATATTAGAGAAAAACATTATTTATAATTTAGATCATTTGTTTCAGCAATTGTACATAAATTTTATGCCTGCCTGACATTTTTATAAAATGTGTGAAGCTATAGAGGCCTACTGCTCAGGAGTTGCACAACCAACCTGAAGACATGGTGTTCAAATCCCCTAACTGCTTCAGAGGAGAGAGACGGCAATCGCCTGCTTTGCAATTTAAACCCTCTGAAATCTCGTGGGAGTATCAGCTATGAGTTGGTTCTGAGTTGACAACAAATATCAATACAGACAACAACTACATTATTAATACTTGACCCATCAACTGAGATAGGCCTGTAAAGAAAAGTTCTGAGATTAAATTAATTTAGACAACCTCCATGTGATTGCATTCTTAGTGATTCATAATGTATTAGTCTATTAAAGGTTAGGATGTCTTCCTTAAACGCAACTAGGATTTCTTTTCAAAAGAAATCTACTCCAACCAGTTGTTACCACAATATAACTTAAGCTTAACCCTGCAGAACTTCCCTCTTTCAAAAGGAGTAAAAACAAAAATATCCAGCCTATATGTTTTTTATCACCTTCAATTTAAAAATGTTACCAGTTAATTCAGATTTTTCTAAAAGTAGCATTTGGTTTAAGTAAATGATACCCAGGAGTTGTATTTGGTGTCCAGTCACAAATTTCCAATCTCTGTATAGTTTGTTTATGGAAGAACAGTCTAAAAAGACCCAGAGAGACAAGTTCAGTATCAGGATTGCTGGTCATCACTGATAATCTTTGCTGGAACTGTTGACCAGAGAGAAAAGGTTAGTATCCAGTTAAGACTTAAGAAAGAGGTGGGAGTCACTGAAGCCAGAAAGAATGAACCAAAAGGCTTTTTGAACAGAGAAGATGGACAAGTGGGGGCACAGGGCCAAGAGAGTGCCAGTTCTGTGCTTGGAAATTGTTCTTTCTCACATTCAAAGAAATAATAATCACAGCTTTTGTAGTTATATGGTATATTTTTTTCTTATTATGTGTCTTAATATTAATTTTCTTCTGTCTTATAGCTGTTTTTTCACTTACAAAGAGAACGGTCCTTCCCTGAACACAGGGCAAGGTTTTATGCAGCTGAAATCGCCAGTGCACTTGGTTACTTACACTCCATCAAAATAGTGTACAGGTACAGTTTAAAATTTTACTTGTAAACATTTTAAGTCTGTTTCAGTTAATAGTCCAGTTTTCTTTTCTTTCCTTTAATTTTTTAGAGATTTGAAACCCGAAAACATTCTTTTGGATTCAATAGTAAGTATTAATTTTTTAAAATCTGCTAGTTCTCAAAAAAATAAAAAACCTGCGAGTCCTCAATTTTTGTTGTTATGCTTAGTGGGGAAAGGCAATCTCAAAAGCTTACAGATTGTACAATAACATTCTCAAAGAGAGAAATGTAGGGCTTGATGACAGATTAGCGATTGACAGGTCACGGGGGGGGGGGAAACTGGGACAAAGGAGAATAAATAGGTGACATAAGTGAGTTTATGTTGGTGATGATTTCAGGAACCAGCAATTGGGATAAAATTTCATAGAATTTACTTACACATAATGCATGTGCATAACAACTAAACGGAGTTGGAAATCTAGGAAACTGTACTAGACCAATGACAGTTTTCCTGCTTGAAATTCTAGAATACTGCATTGTTTATTCTAGATGAGTCTCAATGTACTGTTTTAACAAATTCTTTTTAATTTATAATTATTTAAAGGAAATTGAAATAATTTCTTTTCTTTATATCTATGCATTCTTTTTTTCTATCTGACTTTGTGTTTGTCAGGGACATGTTGTCTTAACTGATTTTGGGCTATGCAAAGAAGGAATTGCTATTTCTGATACCACAACAACATTTTGTGGAACACCAGAGGTAAGAATCATGTTTTATTATTATTTATAAATCCATATAAAAATTAAATATTGTTATGTGCTATTGAGTTGCAGAACACAAATTATGTCTACAAAATAGGATATAAGTGGAGTTGTGCTGCAAACCCAAAGGCACATGATTGGAATCCAGTAGCTGCTTTTTAGAAGTATGGGTAATCTCCTCTTATACACTTTACAATCTTTGAAGAGCTGCTGGAGGATCAACTCCGGGTCATTTCTGACTTGATGACATATAACAACAGTTTCTACTGAACATTTAAAGATTATTGGTGGTAGTGGTGATTGTTATGTGTCATCAAGTCCCCTGTGACTCATAGCGACCCTATGTACAATAGCCATAAATCCTGCTCTATCCTGTGCCAGTGTCACTGTCTCAAACACACCCACCCCAATTACCCCGCCACTGAATCAGTCCACCTCATAGAGTCTTCCTCTCCTGCACTGTCCCTCTACTCTCCCAAGCATGACGTCCCTCTCCTAGGACTTGTCCCTCCTTGCAACATGTCCAAAGTCTGTCAGACAAAGCTTCACAATCATTGCCTCCAAGAAGTAGCCTGGTTTAACCCTCTCCAGGATGAACCTGTTGGTTCTCTTAGCAGTCCATGGTATATTCAATACTCCAGCACCACAGCTCAAAGGCATCAGTTCTTCTTCTATTATCCCTAGTCATTGTGCAGCTCTCTGATGCATAGCAAGTGATTGCAAAGACCTGTATCAAGTGCACCTCAGTGTCCAGACTGACATCATTGCTCTGTAGATGTCTCTGACAACAGACTTTCCTAGTGCAATATATCTTTTAATTTCCTGGCTGCTGGTGCCAAGAGTGTTGATTGTGGAGCCAAGCAAACTAAAGCTGTTTACAGTCTCAGTCTCTTCACCATCCATCACAGTGCTGCCAGTTGGCTCAGTGGTGAGAATATTTGTTTTCTTGATGTTGAACTTCAATCCATATTATAGGCTGTAGTCCTTGACTATCTTTAGCAAGCGCTTCAGATCCTACTCAGTTTCAGCATGCAGGATTGTATCTTCTGCATAATGCAAATTGTTGATGAGTCTTCCTCCAATTCTGATGCCATATTTCTCCTGATAGAGCCCAGCTTCCCAGATAATCTGTTCTGCATATAGATTGAAAAAATATGGAGATAGGACACATCCTTGACATACACCTTCCAAATTTTGAACCATGTGGTGTTTCCTTGTTCTGTTCTGACAACTGCCTCCTGGTCCAAGTATAAGTTCTGCATAAGCACAATCAAGTGTTCTGGAATTTCCATTCTTTTCAGAGTCAGCCACAGTTCGTTGTGGTGCACGTAGTCAAATGGCTTTGTATAGTTAATGAAACACAAATAGATGTTCCTCTGGTATTCCGTCTAACTTACTTTGGACATGTTGTGAGGAGAGACCGGTCCTTAGAGAGGGACATCATACTTGGGAGGGTGGAGGGACGGCGCAGGAGAGGAAGGCCCTCTATGAGGTGGATTGATTCAGTGACTGGAATAATTGGGATGGGAGTGTA